ACAATGAGAGCCGAAACAGTCACATTTATCAAATCGACTTCAATGTTCACTTGTGCGGTTCCCAACGCATATGCAGTACCGCCGGCATAGCCACTTATTCTTATGTTGCAGGGCTGCCATTTAATGTTGCATTTTTCAGCAGTGGTTGATCGAATAGTAAGCACAGCACACCCTGTATCAATAAGTCCGTCACAGGAAACTCCATTTACTTTACAAGTTACTTGGTAACATTTTTCAAAGTCTTGGTCTTCTGTTTCGAGAGTCAAAGCTGGTTTTGAAGTAGATGGCCGGTTTCTGTAGCAATTTGCTGTAGTATGACCCAACTTCTTACATATACTACATGCAATCTTGGCTTTCGTGCAGTCTTTATAAACATGCCCCCTTTGCTTGCAATTGTAGCATTTGAATTTGAGGTGCTCTGAGCTGCCGCCACTGACTGGTTCTCTGATGGTAGGAATAGTTTGGTGTTGGCGATCACTATTAAACTTTTTTTCAAATTTGTTGAAGTTGATCAAGTGTCGCGGGCGTTCTGAAGTGGAAACTAGAGCTGACAGATACTCTTTAAATAAGTCTTCGGGTTTACTGTACCTGCCTGCTTTTGCACCATTTTGTATGGCACTGTCTTCAATGCCATCGATTAACATGGCTACAGCATTTTTGCCTCCAATCTCACAGGCACGCAATAACTCCATTTTAGTGAAATCGTATTCAGTCCATGTTTGTTTAGGCGTCTTCGACAAATTAATCATTTTTTTCAATGTTGCTGGATAATCGTGTTGGTCTGGAAACGCATTAGTAAGCATAGTTTTCCATTCATCCCAAGTGTGATCATAAATATCCAAACTGTTATACCATGACTTTGCCAACCCTTTCAAACGAGACTGCATATGGTATACAGTCAATGTGTCATTCCAGTTATTAATTGATTTCAACTGATCTATTTTATTTACCCACTTTAATGCACTCATGCCTAATGAGTCTGGATAAAATTCGGGAATACAATCAGAACGAATCGCTACTTGTGGGCCAGTGAATTTTTGATTTAGAAGCTCTTTTACAACGTTTTGTAGATCTTGAATTTTTTTGTTTTGGTCAGCAAGTAAGTCAGTTCTATTGTCTAAACTATCACTTACTGTTGATACTCTAGGTGGTGATGGCGTGTAGCTTACAGTTTCACAAGACAAAGAACTTTTCTTTGTTTTGTTCCGACGCTTTGCTACCGATTTCCTTTTGTATCGCCCATAATCAGTGCTCTCACTCTCGGAAGATGTCGATGACGATGACGAAGACGACTTACGCCTCCTTGTTTTTCCCATCGTGAAATACGCCACTAACACAAAGAGAAATATCCGAAATCAATCTCTATAATCACGAAACACTTTATTTTAATCCAAAACACACTGATTAATCAAGTCTCCTCGAATAGAGCGTAATTATCCCGCCGCTGCTCTGTTAACTAACAAAATTTGTTCCAACAAAAACACAGTTCTCCACAAAAATACGTATATTAAATAATCTTAAATGTCAACCGCCCGATTTAACATTCAGAAGACAACTACCTGGGTCTCAATTTCTCAAGACCCTGCCAACCTTATCCTATTATCTAACATTTTTCGAAGGGTCCCTGAAGGGGTTTATTGCATCCTTTTATGGTACGGCCTCTGTGGTGGCTTCGTCACCCGCATTCTTTAGAAATTGCTTATAGTATCTTGCCAATTATTTAATGCAAACGCCTGAAGGACTGCTTTCGGGTGACTGTTATCACTATCCGAAATATCGTGATCAAATGATCGGGTAAGGGCGCCACCACACCCACGATCCGTGCGTGTCTCAAAACAACGTCAGGACAGGTTATTCTCATACTAAGTAAGCACAAGCTTGCTCACAAGCAGAGAAGCAAAATATCGAAAAGCAGAGACAGAATTCAAAGCGAAAATATACTTTGCCCTTTTTTTTTATTACCAAGGAACGAGTCGAAGGCGCCCCCCGAGGTCTGGCGCCTGGAGCGCTTGCTCAGTTCGCCTTATGGTAGGGCCGGCCCTGATGATAAGTAACTTCCTCAAATCCTTATAAGTAGTACCAACTTTCTTAAGCATATCTTTTGATGTCTATCAAGTACTATCGAGGTACTAACAGAAGCATCGGTGGTTCAGTGGTAGAATGCTCGCCTGCCACGCGGGCGGCCCGGGTTCGATTCCCGGCCGATGCAAAACTTTTTTTTTTTTTAAATACATAATTTGGGTTTTTATAATTTAATCGAATTCTCCCCTAAGATTATCTTATTAAATGATTAATGGCCATTCGCACGGCTATCGCTTAACTATCACTTAAGAGATATTAAATGTAGGTGAAGCTTTGAATATGACTTTTGTTTCTACAAGAGTAACATTCAAAGTTTTACTTGGATTAAATATCCCTTAAGTTATAGCGGTGCAAATAGGGCCGGCCCTACCATAAGGCGAACAGAGCGGGCGCTCCAGGCGCCAGGCCTCGGGAGGCGCTCCGACTTGTTACTTGGTGATAAAGATTGGAAAGAGAGCAAGCGTGTGGCTAGCATGTGATTAGATAGATAGAGACATATCATATTACATAATAATATGTAATGTTTCCAAATTTTGAATCAGAGAAGATGGTTGATCTTGGACAGCTTAAGCTATCTCTACTTGATGTTTTTGACAGAATTTGCAAATTAAAGCAGTCTCGGTGTTGAGCCAGATGGCATACCGTTTGTTTTCCTAGAAGGCTGCAGGTTTCTTCTATGTCTCAAATTTTGTGTGATATTTTTAATATGTCATTGTCTACTGGTACATATCCAGAAGCCTGGAGAAAAACCTTTGGTATTCCAGTTTTTAAAAATGGAGACAAATCAGACATTGGAAATTATCGAGGTCTCCTTGGTAGCCAAAGTTTTTGAAGGTATTGTTGCAGATAAAATCACACCCCACATTTTAAGAATGTCATTATCAATGGACAACATGGTTTTATGAAGGGAATATCCACCATAGCAATGATCAAAATCCATGCTCGAGCAAATACTTCATTCATACATATAAGGAAGTCATTTGCATTTTATCACTATTTAATAGTCATAAACAGGAGCTCAAACCCAGCAATAGGTAGATAGAAAGATGGGTGGGTTGTACTAGCCCAATGCTCTGCTTATTTATATGAAATTAGTAACCCACTTTTTTTACCTAATGACATAGGTAACTATTCCACTTGTTTTTTTCAGTGTAAGGGATATATGCACGTGACTGATCACAGTAAATGAGGCAAATAATGTATTGAATTTTGAGACATTTCTTATATCGGTGAATAGAGTATACGATTCACATTTAAAATAGGGGCGCCAAAGTAGGATCTCGTTCCATCCTAAAAGTAACCTCGGGCCGGCACTGGGTGCAAATGGCCATAGGTTTTGCATATACAGGGTGTCTCACAATCAGCGTTACAGGCCATAACTTTCTTATTTTTAGAAATAAAAATTTGAAACAAAAAAAATTATCAATGGCTAATTGAGCTCTCTCCAAAAATATAAAAAAATCTTCCCCTGAAAAAATCATACCCTATTTACAACCCTTTACTTTTTTTTTTCAAATGGCACCCCTATTATTTATTTTTATTTTTGAAAAGCTCATGAAATTACAAATTCAATGATGTATGAAAAGTTTGTTTTTCCATATTTCGTTGGAAAAAAAAATCAAAAATGAAAACAATAATAATGGGGTTCTATTTGAAAAAAAGCAAGAGTTGTTTTTAGGGGATGAGTTTGTTGGGGAAGATCTTTTCAATATTTTTGAAAAGGGGTTAATTTGCACAAAATTATTATTTTTTTGTTATATTTTTATTTTTGTAGACAAAAAAGTGATTGCCTGTTTAAGGCTAAGGGTAGGACACCCATTTTTTTTTTCTTCCAAGAGACATGGAAAAACAAACTTTTCATACACCATTAAATTTGTAATTTCATGAGCTTCTCAAAAATGAAAAAAAAAAAAAAAATAATAATAGGGGTGCCATTTGAAAAAAAAAGTCAATGGTTGTAAATAGGGGATGATTTTTTTATATTTTTGAAGAGAGCTTAATTAGCCATTAATAATTTTTTTTGTTTCAAATTTTTATTTCTGGAAATAAGAAAGTTATGGCCTGTAACGCTGATTGTGGGACACCCTGTATAGATAATAAGTGTGCTTATGATTAACTTATTTCAAACTAACCTAAATTAACTTAATAAGCTATTCCCAACTTTTCATTATTTTTTTTTGCCGACTTATTATTATTTTACTAATTCATTAATCTATACTTTGAGGACTCGGAAAAAAACATGTCCCAGGTCCAATAAATTGTTATTTTCAAAATTTTAGCATTTTTTCTAATATATAAATTAGGTATAAATCTTAAATTTTTTGGCTGTTTTCCGAATTCCATTCCCTCCAAAAAATTCTTTACTCAATAACTCATCAATAAATCATAAATTGAAAATGAGCTTTGTCAGCTTAAGGAAGGTAAATAAAAGTTAACAATTGCTCGAAACAAAAAAAAAAAAAAAAATGCTAATGGCATATTGTATGTTAATTTTTCAAAATATTTGTGATGATGGTTTTTTGGTAGCGATGACAATCAGAATGACAAAATAAAAATCTATACTATAATAATTTATTTCCTTATTTCTGTACTAAAATCTAAGTTCTTAACTCATATGAAATTTGAAATTTCCATACTTTAATAACTACCTACTAGCGAGAACTAAAACTTAATTACTAGGTAGGCAGTAATTTGAGAATTTCTTATTATTGTATGTCTTCATAATATTCTATACCTATAATATATATCTATTACAGATAATATATTATGTATTTCTGCAAAGTTTGAAGAAGGCCATTGCACAAATTCTGTGTTTTCTAAACCCACTATATTGACTTTAGTACCTATTTCCAATCCAATAGGTAGTACCGACTATATGTAATGTGCAAATAAACCAAGCATACTAATTAGACCAGTGAATGGCAGTAGCTTGAATTATTTAATAAAATTTTCATTTATTGCTGAGGTCGGCCTTTATTCTGGCCTTTTAATTTTTACTGGAATGTGGTGGCGTTTGTGTCGCTAGAGGTTTTGATTTTTTAATTTATTTTTGTCCAAAATGACTGAACAATTATCGAAAAAGCGCGAAATTAATTGGATAAAAGTGTTGTTCCAACTTCAAGTTAATTCCTCTTTAGTATTTGCTATTGGTTATTTATTCAAATATGGTTGTTTGTGGAAAACGTTTTTCTTTGGTAAGTTTTTTTTTTTTTTAATTCTATAGGCAACTTCAGATTAACCTTAAAGCGTGATCATGAATCCTATTAATCTAGAATAGCTTAAAAGTATATTCGTGAAGAACTTTTACTTTAAAAGCTATTTATTAAAGTTACACAATAGAAAAAATTGCCCTATTCTGGTATTCCTAGTGAAAATCATGGTGAAACATGAAGCTTCATTACCGCACTAGGACGACAAAATAATATATTTCCCTCTATGCAATAGAGCTTCAAAAGAATCTGTAAGACCATGTGGGAAGAAATTTTTTTCGATCTTTGGACTGGATATTTTGTCTTCTAAACCAAAACCCTTCAGTTCCGATAAAAACAACATCTGTCTCATTACTGACCTAACTGACCCAGTGCCCAAAACGCCTGTGATGGGAGGCTTTTTGCCTTTTTGCAGTTTGATGAATCTTGATTGATGACTTGAGGTTTGTTCTAATATGGCTTTACAACGATTTCATTGGCCATAACTGTTTTTTTGACGTTTCATAAACAAACCTTATGTGATTGCAGTTTGTTCAGATCCTGGGAATACCTGGAGTATATGAGTGTATGGGTTACTTTCTCAAATGCCTTAGAAAAATGAGAATCGATAGAGTTTACCTCTATAGCCTCTGCTCCAAGATATTAGACAAAAATATATGTTTCTCATTAGACCTTGTTGGTACAGAACCAGACTATGGAATGGCATGCCTTTTGGTTCAGCCAAAACGTCTGGAATCATTATGGGGTAACTAAAATCTAATGTTACCACGGTTATTTGGACAACTAATTCAGTTGTCCTCTTTTGAATGTTATTATTAGCTGGTATAGTCTTCATTGAAACAATTGGGAGATCAAAGTTCCTCGAACAAAAATAGAACATACCAACATAATTTCTGAAGCATGGTCTCTTTGTTGCTTCAGAAAAAAATTGGAAATTTATAAATGAATTTGCTAGAATTCAAATACATACCTGTTTTTGATGTTTATGTCGCATTCTAATAAATCTTTTGAACTTCCTTTCAGCCATACTTCTAACCGTTCTTGGAGTCCTAGGAAAATCTGCTGGAGCTCACAGATTATGGTCTCACTGCACCTACAAAGCCACCACCGGACTAAGAGTATTTTTAATGCTCTGCCAAACATTAGCTGGATATGTAAGCATTTTATGTTAATATGTTGTCGCATATTTAAAACTTAATTATCGTTCTACTATCAGGGTTCCATCTACGATTGGGTTCTCTACCACCGACTGCACCACAAACATTTCAAGACCGACCTGGACCCGTACAATCCGAAAAACGGTTTTTGGTACGCCCAGATTTTCAGTACCGTAAGAGACTTGAGTCCCGCTCAAATTGAAGCTATGAAAGAAATTGATATGAGTGACTTGGAAAACGATAAAGTAGTGATGTTCCAAAAAAAGTAACACATTCAACATAAACATAAACATTGAAGCATAAGAATACATTTTATTTATTTTTAGATGGTACAACATAATGTATGTCATAATCTTTCTACTTTTACCATTAAACGCTCCATGCGAATATTGGAATGAAACTATTGTAACTTCATTCATGATTGTGGGATGGTTGCGATATGCTTTAACGTTGCACTTTTGTTGGTTAATTCACAGTGCTGTTAATATTTGGGATTTGAAGCCCGGCGAGAAGTAACTTACTCCTTACTTTAATATTATTCCACTAATATTGCTTTTTTCCTAGATTCCCGGCTGACACTAATTTAGTATTCCTAATCACAAAAACTTACTGGATATCCTACCACTACTTGACCCCGTGGGATTATCAAGCTAGTGAGTATGGCAAATATGGAACGGATTGGGTGTCCAAGTTCATTAAAGTATGTGCCGCTTTGGAATATGCCACAGATTTGAAAACTATCGATAGTCACGGTGTGAGGAGCGCTTTGACGAAGTCAGTTACCGAAAATAAGCACATCACTGAATGTTTGACTGAGATGGCTAAGACAGCTTCAGGAACTATGAGTTAGTTCGATGATAATTTATTATCGTTTGTAAGTTTTTTATTTTTAAAATGGAACATTCTAATGAATGTTTTATTTTATGTACCTAATAATATACAAATAAATTTTGGATTGTTTGTTTCGTTGAGATTTTATTTCAAGAAGCCTGTTACTGTTGTGACAGAATGTGATTTTAGGGGCTGTTTTTATTTCGGTTCAAGCACAACCTCGTTCTGATTCCGAAAGTTTTTACAATAATCTTACAAGAATTATTCAAGAATTTCACAAGATAGCGGATTATTTCTATAAAATTTCCTGTTGAACTTATTTAAAGAATCACAAAATATATCAACGTCATAACCGTCTAGTAAATCATTAACCAATCGACACATTTCACTTAACGAGGAATTGAAACTATAATTGGTTCTGTGGAAGTCAACATAAATAGCATTCTATTCCTGATATGAAAGGAAGAAATATGAACCCTAATGGTCGCAAGAAGATCTGGTGCAACAATGATGTTATTAACAATTTTATAAAGTGTTGAGATATCAAAAAATTTTCTTCTGCTTTCCAAAGGCGTTAAATTTAGAAATTTCATGTTTTATTATCTCATAACAATTAATTTCCTCCTAAGGTATGCCCAATTTGAATACAATTCTCTTTAGAAAACTCCTCCTACATTTTATCTTTGTGTATGGCATAATGAGGATTTCATACGCAACTTGCATATTCAAGAATTGAACGAATCAAGGCACAGTACATTTATCAAAAAGTAAAAATGTTTCCAAACCCTCTGAGTTCGAAAAACAAAGCTAACAAGACGCATGGCCCTATTGCTAATAATTTCTATATGGTTATCAAAAGTGAGTTCAGAATCTAACCCATAGGTACTCCAAGATCTTTGATTAAACTTTGCCCTTCTAGTGGTTCAGAATCCAGACAATACTCGAAAAGAACAGGGTTTTTTGTTTTGAATAAAGTTACAATCTTGCATTTACTTACATTTAATGTTAAATTATTAGTTTTGCACCATAAAGAGAATCTTCCTGCAATAGCCGACAATCATTTGGAGAATCAATAATTCTAATAGCCTTCAAGTCATCAGTAAAGCCAGGAAACTGGCAGACACGAAAAACATCCCTTATTTCATTAATAAAAACATTAAAAAGGAATGTTGAGAGATGGCCACCTTGTGGTACACCCTTACACCTGAAGTTACTGTAATCTCAGATATGAAATTCTCAATTTTTACAGACTGTTTACATCCCCTCAAGTTGCTCTCAAACCACTTAAGAAAATCTCCAAAAACCCCAATTGAGGCCAGTTTCTCTACCAGAATACCACGATCAACTCTATAAAAAGCTTTCCAGAAATCAGTATAGATTGCATCAACCTGATACATATTCCCGAAAGCTCCCAACAGACATAGCTTAAGAAATTAGAAATTGTTGATCTTCCTTCCATAAACTCATGCTGTTCATTAACTATGATGTTTTTAAAATAAGGGGATATTTTATCCGAGATAATGGCTTCAAAGATTTTAGAAAACATAGGTACATTATTTAGAAATAACACAGAAGTTTTTTTGATGTCTGCTTTGTACCCATCCTTAAAAACTGGTGTTACATAGGACCTTTTCCAAGAAATAGGGAATATAGCGCTACTTATTGATAGATTATAAATCTTACAATTTCAGAAAGGACAATTTTACAGTTTTGCACTAAAACAACAAGAATGCCATCAGGCCCAAGTCCCAAATTGGGTTTTAAAACACTAATTCTATTCTAAAACAACAATCACACTCAAAGATAAAAATCCTAGACTAACACATTTAGGACATGAAAAAGACTCATATTCTGAGTATACCTCTGAGAAGTGAGTGCTAAACATTTCTGCTACCTATTTTCTGTGGATCATTACTAAAATCCTCACCAAGTGACATACACTGTGGGTACTCCAAGTTGCCCTTTTTTGAGTTAACATATTTCCAACAAAAATTCTTGTCAGTCAATTGACTTTCAAGCGTCTCTTCTCTGTGTGAAGATGATTTATTTCTACACTGCTCTCTTAATTTGTGAAAAGACAATGTAGTCTTCCATAGCTTTTGTAGTTTTGAAAATTTTTGTGTGTGATTTTTTCTTTTCAATTATTGAAGATCTTAAGTCATGATCCATCAATTTTGGAAATATAGGTGCTTTATACTGAGATGTAGGTGTAAACATCTTAATTGCATGACGAAGAAATATAATCAACATCAGCACACCCAGAAATGAACGAGCAGTCAACACAAGATAAAAACGGATTAATTTCTCTATAATAATCACATAGTAGGTAAGTTCTTTTATATGGAATTGCCCAGCACAAAGAAAAACTCAAAGGCTAGGTGTGGTATGTTCAGCCTAAGCAGCGGCTTATCACAGATTAAAACAATAATGTCAACATGATTCGAAAACAACAAAACAAGAACGTTAGCATACACATTTGGAGTTTGGATTTTGTGGGACAACCTCAAGTAGGTTGGCCCAATCAGAAATTACCACAGCCTCGTTTCTAATGGTTCCTGACGGAGATGTTCCATTTACCCCGTTGACCCATGAAATCTTAGGTAGATTGAAATCACCCCAAAGAAAAAACATCAGTGAGGTTTGAGTAGTGTCTGCTGTCTATAAGGTGGTCGATGTGATTTTCAGTTTCTCCATTGGGGGATACCCATGTAAGCTTGTGTTCAAACATTGTGCCTCCAACTACCATGTTCTTTGGAGTCGCAAAATGTATACCTAACCCTGTTTTCGTGTTGCCATTACTTTCCTTATGGAGGCTATGTCTACCAATATGCTTTTGGTATATTTCCTCCTTGCCAATCTTAGCATTCGGATCACCAATAATTACTTTATAATGTCATTGGCTACGGACAGTTTGATCGTAGGCATTTTCTAACTGATCATCTTTGTCTGGTATTTGCAATGAAACACTCTTGGGTTCGTTAAATTAGCTTTATCTGCAAGCGTTCAATTATGGCGTTTTTACATGATCAATTTTCTAGATTTGAGTTATGTCATAAGACTCATAACACAACTAGTGTGTGGGACTAGGTTATGAATCTATAACAACAACTATAGTGGACTAGGTTATAAATTCATAACACAACTAGTGGTGTTATGGACTAGGTTATGAATCTATAACACAACTATTTTTGGATATTTGACAAATGTCAAAGATAAACTTGTGAAGGTAAAATCATCATCATCATAATCTACTACTATTATTTTCAAGTGATGGCTTGAATTCTCAAAATTTACACTAACCATAGCATTATATACAGAAATCATGATTTGTCAAAACAAAGTACCCATTTACTCTACAATTCTGTTTGGTTAGTGTAACATTTGGAAATATTGGTCGATACTTAACATATCTGGACAATGATCACCTGTTGTAACTGATCTAAAAACTTTAGACCAGTAAACTAGATCTTAATACAACTCTTCTTCGACGTCCTTTTCGTCTTGACTTTTAACTAACTAACTCCTCTTCTTCGGTATAATACACTTTATTTTTGGGACATAACGGTGATTTGGCTGTATGCCCAACTTTATTGCATCCAAAACACTTCCAATTCACAGCTGGATACTTTGACGGATCGGTATGGACTCTCAGAAATCTTTTACAATTATTTTTGTAATTGTTCTGTCCACTAGATACATAACCACTGATAGACTTTGTCGAACTTGTAGATGGCATGGGTAGGTACTCGACTGCAACTTATCACCAGAGTGGCTGGACTGGAATGTCTTTTTTACAATCTAAAACTAATTTACTAATTCAGAACCCAATGTTTTTACTTGATCCTCTGCCAATTCCATACTAGAAGCTATTGTTACTGCTTTTCTCGAAATTTAACTGCTCTTCAGTTGATAGTTTTCGTCTAATTGATTCCGACTTTATGCCACATACAAACTTATCTTGTAGTGCCTCATTCAAAAACTTCCCAAACTTACAGTTTTTTACTAAATTTCTCAATTTCAATGTGAACATTGAAATATCTTCGTGGCCTTTTTGCCTCGCAGTATAAAACTGATACCTCTTTGCAATGACCAATCGCTTTGGACTATAATGTTTTTCCAAAACTTCCTGCTTTAACTGATCATATGACTTATTCTTTGGCAATTCTGGAGACAGCAAATCTTTTAACACTTCATAAGCCTCTTCTCCAACAAGGGTTAAAAACATGCATACTTTTTTTCTTTCTCCTAGGCAGTTACATTCAAATAACTGATCAATTATCTCCATATATGAAGTAACGTCACAGTCTCTAGGCCCAAATGGCTCAATACCACCAATCAAAGCCAGTTTTAATTGTTTTTTTTTTTTTACTAGACTTTCGGCTTTACGCAGTTGCGACTTCAACAACAAACAAGGACTTTTCAGTGACACAAACACAGTATTAGAGTAATTATGACTCTGAACTCCACATCTCGTCGCTATTATGTTGTGTATTTACAATAAAACACTCTTGGGTTTGTTAAATTAACTTTATATTAAGGCTATGGTCCAAATTTCACCAAACGTTAACCAAAGTAACCGAATCGGTTGACAGATGGTTACTGAAAATTCTGGTTACTTGGGGAACGCGATTATGAAATGAAATATAATTGACAGAAATTACAGATAAAACCAACAGAACCGACCTTCGATAGCCGGTAACTATTTTGGCATTTGGTTAACCAGATTTCAGGAAACCGAGGTCCAAAAGTAACCACTTTTCCAGGAACCACAGTAATTTGATTAAAGTCTGTTTTTTTTTTAAAGATAAAAGTCAAAATGACATTATGCTGGCCATACAATGTAAAATTGTCAATGCTTTCAAATTTTTTGAGTAGAAAAGGCTTGTGTTGCCAACATAGTTACTAAATTTTTAACTTGGGGAATTATCTTTAAAAAAAAACAGACTACTTTCGGACCGCGAAACCACAACCCTGGTTATATTCGGACCACAGCCCTAGTTGAACTAACTGTCATCATTCTGACGTTCTGTGATTCTGACAACACACTTGTCATCTTTTCAACCTGCGACGTCTAACGCCACTCTCATCACCACAAAAGGAACTCCATAGTTCCGAAAAAACTACTGATGACGTCATTCGGGA